ACATTTTAAGTGTTACTAACCTGAAATGTAGACAGCTACCTAAATATGACTTTTTCACTCGGCATCAGAATCCAAAAAGATTTTAGGTTTAAGTTTGTGTATGAACATTTGATTGCTCAATTCTTTAAAATACATTTGGGTTATGATCAGCTTTCCCTCACATGATACTTGTTATTCATCAAAGCACAGGAGTTATGATGATGGAATGCATAGTTCTTAAAACAACCCCTTCATATGAAAGTCATTTCTTTTCCATGGTAAACTTCAAACAGCATTTCAAACCAAATGGGAGTAGAATATTCTTTGCTCAAAGATTGTTTTATGCTGTTGTTTTTGACCTCTCTCCTGCTCCTGCATATCACACACTCTATAAGGTTTTCTGAAATTTAAAAATGCTTTATGTCATATAGAGCTCAACAAAGCTACATCTCTTTGAATGTTGCTCAGCTCAAAATCAGAAATACATGCTTTCAAAAGTTGCCATCAGACTCCCTAAGGGTATACCACCCCCCTTCACCACCAACCTATAATGAAATGTTTTATCAAAGTGCCCCTGTGAGCCATTGTCTATTGTTCCTTCACACTGAAATTACAGTGAACTTAAACAAACCCCAATTTGTTTTGATGTATCTATACTAAGAGTTTCAAACCCAACCAAAACCCTGCTGAAAAATCTTCAAATACAAACTCAGCTCTACAAATCTAAAGCATTCAAATCTCTGATTCTCTTAAAAGTCCTCTGATGCTCCCTAGTGGTACAAGGTGCATAGTTCAGAAAGTCATCCAGCTGACTGTTTATCTACATATCATGTAACAACACTTGCAATAACAGCAGCCTCCACCTCTGTACTTTCAGTGAGGTCAGAAAATACCTCAACTTCAGATAATTCTGTCAAATGCTAGGGCTTAGCGTAGCAGGAAAAAAACTGGGGAAAAGAATTACTTCTGGATACTCCAGGTTAATTTAAAGAGACATCAAATAGAATAGATAAACCAGTGTTATTAAAATGATCTGCAGTACTGCTGCAGTTTCACACTGTGACCACAGTCGGCCCTGCTAAAGCAATGGTGCGCCATATCACTACGCAGTGCAACTAGGCCTACTTCAAAGGCTAATATAAAAGAGACGGAACGACTTTTCAAGAACATCAAAGACCCAAAAGCATCATGCAGTAACCACATCAGAGAAATGGAAAAATATAAAAAATGAGGCGTGTTCCATAATTCAACTGAGCTTCATTTTATGCATGTAACACAAAGGTAGCCATTTGGAATCACGCTACCAAACATTAAATGATTTTGCAACCCATATTGGAGGCAAAATTAAACATCACTGCACTGAGAAAGAAGTTTTACATCATATGTGAAGCTTGGGTTTGACATCATGCAGCTTGGATTTATGATTTTTGGGTTGGCCTCATGTCAAAATGGTTGTTATTTAAGTTAAACAATACATGCTATTAGTATTACAAAAACAATAATACAGATTCAAATTTGGTGGGCGCAGGGACTTACAGAAAGAAGCTCGGAGTCAAGTTCTGAATGTTTTCAAAGCTACTCCAATCAGATTCAATTAGGTTTACATGACGTATAGCAGAGGGTGAGGAGAGCTACAGTAATTTAAAGTGAAGTTAAATTTACAGTAGTAACACAGCAAACAGTAATGTGATATTAGAAATGTGTGATCAAGTGCATCCAATGAGCTGATTAGATAATTATGAACACATGGAATAGTCAACAGATTGAGATCTCTAATGAGCATCTAGTAAATAAAATAAGTGAGTAGCTGATTGCTTCTCCAAGGGCATCACACATTTTAAATCTTGAATTGACATTCCCGTCCTCTGATGGTTTACATTCCAACAAATGTTCTGTATGTTATTTTGTGAAACTCATCTCAGTGTTGATGTGCCTCCATGCCTTTCATCAGACGTGCCAACGAGTCTTAATAGATTCTCAAAAGGTGATGGTGTTCATTATTGCTTCTACTCACCTTCAGCTGACACTTGTGGACTCTCTTCGACGCAAAATCAACAGGACCTGTAGAGGTAAATTAAAGCTGAGGTACGTGACAGAAAGACAAATTCCATCTCAAAGGTATGGCTTTGCAGAATTTCAAAATATACACAGTATGAATTTAACTACCTAGGACTTCATAGGAGGAAAACACCTTTTATCTGAGGCTCAAACTATAGCGGATAAAATGAATAAAATAAAAGTAATGTGTGTACTTTATCCTGAAACAAATGTTTTTTGATGTAACAATGCTCCTCCTGACCTTGTAATTATTTTTTTAAATTATCTGTAGCACACAAACCAATTTACTGTATGTTTACTGCAAAGGAAAAGCAATGTTTCTGTATCTGGAAATTTCTGTACACAGAGGTGTCAAAATGCAGAAACAAAGAGCTGAAATTTTCTCCAAACACAAGGATACTGTTTGAACAACTGACATCAAGTAGGGCCAGCAGGCTTTGTTTTCTTGTAATCACATAATTATTTTATGATCTCGACATAAAAAGCTTTGTTCTGAGCTTTGACATAAGCTCTGTTTTCTTCTGGACATACAATAACAATCTGGTCTTATTAGATGATTGCTAATGAAAAGTGGATCCTGATATAGTAACCATCTATAAGCAGCAGGCGTACAGCAAGTTCTATCTCTATCTCTTAGTAGAATCTTGAAAACATAAATTTTTATCTAAACATCACATTGCTAGAAAATCAGGCTATGTTAATTAAAGGCAAGTTATAAATAACTATTGCTAATAGGGTGGGTAGGAGCAGACGTGCTGATCTTACTATTAACATATTTATTTGCTTTTTGTCAGATTTTTTCTGTTCTTTTTTTGACACTTTGTGAAAAACACAATGGTTATGTTTGAGTTCATTGTTCTTGAAGCTCTTAAAATGATGGTTTGAGAGTCTCAAATCCAAATGGATGTGGAAGTCAGAAGTAGCTGATGTCTGGGCTGACAACACGCCTACTGCAGAGATGTAGGACAAGGGTCATATGCAGAGGAAAACAGTTTAACTTTCATTGGGAGTTTCACATGGCAATAAGGCAAAAACAGGCCACTTCTTTTAATCAGTGACTCACTGAGACCTTGGAGATAATGCGTAATGGCACGTGTCTCCTATCAGTTAGATGGACAGGTTTGTTAAAGCTTCGAAGATTTACACTGACGCTCTTATCTCGTCTCAAGCATCTCATCCACCGCATCCCCTCTCTCACTAGCATCCCATTCATCCCAGCTAAATGGGAACAAGAACAAAGAATTTTGGGGCTGCTTCTGCTCCTCTTGTTCAGTCTGCAGCCTTATATTGCTTGTACCATGTCCCAATTCAGAAATAGCTGCTTGTTATCATCCCTCTGATCTTCTGAGGACAGTTGCACAGGCTGTTGGGACTGCACTTGAGAAGTCTACAAAGTGTGGGTAAAAAAAAACAAGGGCGCTAATGATCTTGGAGAGATTTAGAGAAAATGGATTGTGGATTCTGAGTCTTACACTGATGAAACTGGGTTAACTGTCTTTCAAAAAGAATTTGCTTGCTGCGATTGACAGTGTGTTGTGGTGCGGGTGGTAAGGAGAGACAAGCCTATAATTATTTGTAACCAATCTTGCCGATTGAGAATGAAATTGAACAAATATTTCACATCAACTGCATATGACAGCCAATAACACAGGCGTAACAGGAAGGGCATTTTCAGCTTCTAATAAGCTTCGGATGGTCACAATCTTTAGCTTTAAAGGTGTGTATATCTGATTTGTCAGATTTACAGGAACACAAACATAAGCTCAGTGTACTAAGAACACATTATGCGCAGTCTACATACTCTCTCAATGACCTTAGAACCACATGTCCCGAAGAGTAAATTAAATATTAACCAAAATACAAATATTTACAGATGAGTACAATGACCCACAGAGTGGCATCGATGATTCCAGGAGAGCTTTGTGATACAGGAAAAACTTACATTCATGACTCAGTGTTTATGCTTTTGTGGTGGCTAAAGGATTGTCAAAAGAAGAGTTCTGTCAACATGGGTAATGTTAACATGAGTGAAATCAACTAATTATATATATATATATATATATATATATAATTATATATATATATATATAATATATATATATATATATATATATTTATATATTATATAATATAATTTAAGGATGTGTTTTTAGTAACATACATAAATCAAACCTCTGAGGTGGTTAGGTGAAAACAAGGGTCTAAGGACAGAGAGTGATCAATGCTGTACAGATTGTCCCAGAGGCAAATTGTAATCTGGAGCTATATAAAAAAATAATTGTACTATGCTGCCCTTGACTAGGACGGACCTCTATGCATCTTTCCTCTGCAAAAAATAAATAAATATATACAGTATATATATATATATATATATATTCTTTAGAAACTTTCATGGGGAAACAAAAAAGATCTAAAGAGCATTTCAGGGACATCGTGTCTGTGATGTCAATATACTGTATACACACAAGAACTCCACTCCTCTCAGTCAGATGCTTACATAACCAAGTTCACTATTTGTAAAAGACGTTACATACACATAAACACCAAATCCTTGAGAGTAAACACTGTAGATACCCTGTGACCGAGACAGCAAGGTCCACACAGAAGTTTCACGAACACAGTGCTTCTTCTACAGTATAATGGAGCAGTGATTTAATGTTATAAAGAGTTCGGTCTAGACCTGCTCTATTTGAAAAGTGTCCTGAGATAACTTCTGTTATGAATTGGCGCTATACAAATAAAATTGAATTGAATTGAATTGATTAGACATTTAAAATCATCTCATGTTAAATATATTTGACATTACAGTTCATTTAATTATTTGTATAAAAAGAATCAGGTTTGATATTTATTATGCATTTTAATATTTGAAAAGCATCCTGTGACTGATCGTTAGCAAAGTCCAGAAGGTGGTCCCAGTTCAAGGTAAACAACTTCATGGGGCAAATAGAGGCGGGCCGGATGGTAACTGTATCCTCATGAGTGATTGGATGAGGTGAATCTTTAAAAATGTGGATTGCGTTGGAGACAATTTTAGTAAATATCAGTGAAGGAAGAAGAATACAGCTTTGCCGCAACTGATTTGGAAAAGTCATGAGTGGATGTCCATACTTTGAGAAGAGGCATTTGTACGTTCAAATTGTTATTGCACCTAAAATAGGGCTCTAACGGATCTTGTTCCCTCATTTGTATTTTTTTTCATTTTTATTTTTTTCCAATTCTATTAAATGGAGCCTTGTAACAATTCATTACTTATCCCGATGATGGAAAAACACACCAAGTAACAACAGGCCTTCTCTCTTCACACTGCAGGTTATTCAAAAACAAGCCTCCCTCAACGGAAGAAGATGAGGATGCCTCGCAGGCAGGGGTTAACAAGGCCAGTAAAGGAGGAATCATCTATGGAGACTACCTGCAGGTAGAAAACACAATCTATAAAACGTATTCATCTTTGTGCACAGCTTTTGTAAAGAAAGATGAGTACAGGAATTTGGATTTGTGTTTTTAAGTGCTTCATTTCTTTCCATCTCTCAGCTTGACAAAATAGTCTCAGCCCAGGTGTTGCAGAGTGAACTAAAGGGTAATAAGATCCACGATGAGCACCTCTTCATTGTCACCCACCAAGGTAAAACTACTGGAGCTTTGTAGCATTTAAGAGCATTTTTTCTGCATTGAAACTTGAGTCTTTTTTTTTTTTTTTTATAAAAAAAAGATTGCCCTGGAATCCAAAAAATACCATAGCTAAACTGAAGTTAGAGAAGTAGATTTGTTCCTCTAAATAACTCAAAATGGGCATTTTTTGGTCTGCAATTAGCCCTGAATTCTTACTGACCTTTGTGTTTACCTTGTAATATTGTACTAAAATTCTTCAACCGTTTGTGTTTTACTCCAGCCTATGAACTGTGGTTCAAACAGATTTTGTTTGAACTTGACTCAGTGCGCGAGATCTTCATCAGTGGACATGTAAGTCACAATCCTTGGGTGAAGAAATCTTACAAGGTTATGTGATTGTGTTTTTGTTTTATTTTTCCAGTTTTTAAATACTCTCACTTGATTCTGAAGCAGAGAGGAACTCTTTGTACCACTAAATTCAAATCTTTTAGTCAGTGTTGGGGATTGAACGCTGCTTAAAATACAAAATCACAAATTAGAACAATTTAAATAAATTGAAGAGTACAAAATCATCACAGGAGAACACTATGGTAATCAGATCTCACAGTGCCTCTGTTTAAAACAAAGTCATATTCAATAGGAATTATTTGTCTTAGTCATTCTGGCTTTGGAGTTCAGCCGGGGAAAAGTAAGACATTTTGTGCATCTACTTCTTTTTCTCCTGAAAGAGACACACATTAGGTTGAGGAAATAGTCATACATACATTGTGTTTTCCTGTGTCAGGGTATGTACTTACAAGCTTTACAAGGGTTTGGTATCATTTCCTTAAACATTCTACTATTCCACCAGGTCAGAGACGAACGCAATATGCTCAAAGTCAACACTCGCATCCACCGGATTGTAATGATCTACAGACTGTTGGTCGACCAGTTTGCAGTTCTGGAAACGATGACAGCCTTGGACTTTTTTGACTTTAGGTTAGCTTATAAATAACTTCTGGCTCTGTCTACTTCAGCACTGAAAATTTTATAAGATGCACTCCTCCATGATAGTGCACTCTGTCTGTATTGGGTAAATTTGTACTTACGTGTGTGTGTGTGTGTGTGTGTTTGTCTGTAGGGAATACCTGTCTCCTGCCTCTGGATTCCAAAGCCTTCAGTTTCGGATCCTGGAGAACAAAATCGGGGTCCCGGACAACCTGAGGGTTCCATACAACAGACGCCATTACAGGGACAATTTCAAGGGTCATGACAGTGAGATGCTGCTGGCCACTGAAAAGGAGCCGACGCTCTTGAAACTAGTCGAGGTATATCTTACAAACACCAAACACCTGCACTTGGTCAACGATTTTTAAATTTAATCAACAGTTAATTAAAGAAGGCATCATTTTATTCCACTGTGTATCATCTTCTACTGTATTTTCAAAGCAACTGTTCACTGTATCCTGTGCTAGATAAGCACATCTGCTCCTGAACAGGGTAGAAAGTGATAAAACCTTGGGCTGTTCTTTTCAGGAGTGGCTGGAGAGAACTCCTGGCTTGGAGGTGGATGGATTCAATTTCTGGGAAAGGCTGGAAATCAATATATTTGATGGGTTGAATAAGGAAAAGGAGAAAATCGAGGTAAGAGATGACTCTGGCTTTCCGAAGAAAAAAAAAAAAAGTTTGCTCCCCTTGGAGTGCAAAGATGATTGACAGAGACTGTATTTTTATTCACGGTTGTTGTCTTTTTTGTCTGTTTTTTTTTTTTTTGAAGAAAATGCCAGATTCTGAGGAGAAGGAGGAAATGATGTCTGAGCTGGTCAAACAGAGAGAGCTGTTCACTTCTCTGTTTGATGAAAAGCGGCATGACCATCTCCTTAGCAAAGGCGAGTGCTTTCTCAATTAATCAAATGTCATAATCCAGTGTTTGTCAAGACTCCACATATCTGTTTGTTATCTAGATTTAACTCAACATTATAGGCCTATTAATCCTTTGTATTACTTTAAATAAAGACTTTTACTTTAAAAGTAATATATTTTCAATTTTGCTCACAAGGTGAGAGACGGCTCTCTTACAAGGCTCTCCAAGGCGCCCTAATGATTTACTTCTACAGGTATGTAGTTTTTACTAGCTTTCCTTCACAGTGAACTTGTGCTGACACAGTATATCTGTGTTATGTTTGCTTCAGATTCATATACTTTTTACATTTCTACACCTGGGAGTTGCACAGTACACACAGTCTTCCACTGTTGACCACAGTTTTACTGGGCCAGCTGGGGTTTTAACGTCTTGCTTAAGAGCAGCTCGGTTTGTTCCTGATTTATTCTTCCCCATCTAAAAATTCCATGTCACAAGCCAATCTCTGAAACACCGTCAGCCATCCAGGTCACGTGATACATCAGTTGTAAAACACTAGTAATTGAACCTGTGAGGTTTCAATTCTTATCCAGGTATTTGTCAGTATCACCAAAAGGTGTGGTTAACAAGCTTTTAAAACCTGTGTGATAAAGACACAACGTCAGGTGAGACTAATTATACCTACGTGAGAGTCAACAGAATGTCAAGTCACTGGATGGTGATAATTAATGTGAAACCGCTCTGTAAAACATGTTAACTGCACTGCGGATAGTGAGCAGGTGATAGTCACTCTCGTTTTACAAGTACTGCGAACACCTCCCAGACACCTTTCCGTATACTTGTGCAAGATGTCCTTCAAATAATAAAATCTTCAACTTTCAGGGAAGAGCCGAGGTTCCAAGTTCCTTTCCAGCTGCTCACATCCCTCATGGATATTGACACCCTCATGACAAAATGGAGATGTAAGTACTGTGGAACCGCTGTCAGTTGCTGCATATGCTTACCAGTGAGCAAGAACAGAAAAAGTGTGTGGGGGGCGGGGGAGCTAATTTATACTAAAAACACATTTTTTAAATCTTTGCCCAAAGGCATTGCTGGACTAACAGGAGTTTGCAGAGATAGAGTTAGTTCAGGACCTCAGAAGCAGAAAAATAGTCTAACATCCTCTACACCAGCTCATCAATCCAACAATTTATTCCTATGAAATGCATTTTTTACTCACCTATGTCTCACTTATGTCTTAAACAATTTGCAGCTACAATGAAACATGCAGAATCAAAACATTGCTCATATCACAAAGGGATATTTCTGTATTTTGCTTTAGACAATCATGTATGCATGGTGCATCGTATGATTGGCAGCAAAGCTGGCACAGGGGGCTCATCTGGCTACCACTACCTGAGATCTACTGTCAGGTATTGTATCCTATAAACTTTAACCTACTGATTAAACACTTTACACTGCAAGTATCTTAAACACTTCAGAGTTCATTTAGATAAGGACAGGACACTGCTACTCTGTGCTTATCTAAATTAACCTGTCATATGGTCACTTCTTTCTGACATGCACAAACTATACTTATTAATAAGAATAATTTCAAAGGAGCTACGACACAAGTTCTTTATTCAGCATCCATTAAGTTTCAGCAGTAGTTTAAGTTAGCTTTTGTCCTTCAGAAAGTACAATTTGTAACAGATGCCCAATTATATTTTAAGAGTACATGAGTTCAATATTTAATAAAGCTTTTTCCTTCCCTTAAGTGACCGCTACAAAGTGTTTGTGGATCTGTTCAACCTGGCAACGTTCCTGGTGCCACGCCACTGGGTGCCTAAGCTAAACCCCAACATCCATAAGTTCCTCTACATGGCCGAATGCTGCGACAGCTCCTACTGCAGCAGTGAAGACTCTGACTAGGGGGCATCGCAGAAGTCTGGTTAATTTCTTTCACTTCAACTGACCTCACAACAGTAGATCTCTTTTAAAGTTTGAGTTTTAGTGACAGGTGCATAAGTGAACAGGTGGCCATCCGAACATGCAAAGAAACACTGTGTCTGAGAAGAAACCAGACACTCAAACACTACATAGGATGATGAAAGAAAGTCCAATAAGATAGTATTTTTGGAGCATCTTAATTTGGTGGATTTTTTATCAGTTGAAAGAAGATGGAGTGAAACATGGCACAAGGAGGGATCAATTAACATAATAACTGACTGACTATGATTGACAATGTAAACCACCAAAGTATCCATTAGTGAGAGACATTTGGTACCGTGATGGTATTATTGGTTGGGCTTTTTAAAATATCTTCTTTTCTGTGACGCATTGGGATTGTGACATGTAAATACAGAAAATAACTAAATTTGTTCAAGTTAATGTCAAGCAAGGTGAAAAGAATTTCATCTCATCGTGACACTAAAAGCATGGCAAATATCCTTCAATTATGGTAACAAAGAACAGAAAAGCAAATTACTAGCTCATTAGTTACATCAAGCTGCAGCACAGAGGTTCATACCACAGAAGCTTGTGACGCAGTGTCTGACCCTGAATAAATCAAATGGCCAAATTAGACTATTTTACTCTAATCTTGACTGGTCACAAGGTATAGCAGATGGCTCCTTGATAAGATTTGCTTAGATGTTTTCTCAATAAAATTATGTAAATTCACTGTGTCTGACCTGAAAGCAAACGGATCGGTGAGACAAGTGATCAAACTGGTGGCGATGATGGGTTTTTTGAAAAATCATTATCTTTCATGTCAGCACGGGGAAGGTGTGAGAGAAAAAGCCATTTCAGACTATTGGGATGTGGCTTAGATGCAAGATGCAATAAAATGACAATAGACCTCTGTATAATCAATGTCCAACATCTAAAACAGAAGAATTTGCACAGCATATATGTGAAGCATAAAATTTGTATATAATGTTAATAATGTAGTTGTGTAATACTGTGTTTTGTATAGTATGCTGTAAAGTTAATTTTGTTATGTATTTATGCAGTGATTGATGGTATCACTGTATAGATAAATTTATAAGCCATAGCACCTATAATATGTATCCACCTTATGTATTTAATAAGATACATTTTTTTGTACAGTGCATCTATTATTATTACAGTTGTTGTTTTTTGCAGTGTTGTGTGTTGATCGCTCAGATATGATCCAACATTTATCAGCATGTAAAGTGATTTATTTTGTTTTAGTGATGTAACATGTTGACATTTCAATAAAAAACATTATTTAAAGTGACACTTGAAGGCAAAGAGATCATTTAAAATTTGACAGCAGTGAACACATGCACAAACACATACAAGGACAACAATACACACAGACTCGTCAAAGAAAAACTGCTGCCACAGAATCTGCAATACCTGGGGAAAGAAAAAAATAAGGATGTTGAACATTTCCATTCTCTTCCTCTTACATCTAACTACAGCTTTTGATACAGTAGCTCACACTATTCTCATTCAGAGATGAAACCAGTGGGGTGTCTCTATTAGCAAATCATCCTCTCCCTTTGCCCCATGTCTTGTGGTGTCCCCCAAAGTTCCATTCTTGGTCCAATCCTTTTCTCCATGTATTTGCTTCCTTTGGGCCACATTACTCAAAAACTTATCTTTTGACTGTACACAGATTTACCTGATCATAGAAACTAATAACTTTAAATTATGACTCCATATCTAGGCCAACTGCCTTGTAAAAAATGTTGGAGTCATATTTGATTCAGGATTTTAAGTCTGACTAACAATCAATCAGGTATTAAAATTAAGCTTCATGCAGTTCCACATGATTTCCAAACTCAGATTAATTCTGTGTATTTTTGGAGAAAGTTATCTATCCATTTATATCCACCCACCTCAACTATTGCAACTTGTTGTATTTTTTAGCACTCAGTCTTGTTTATCCAATCTCTAACTTGTTCAGAGTTTTAACAAGGTCAAAAAAGAAAGAGCATGTTACTCCTACTCTGATGTTTGTCTACAATGTGTTAAATGGTTCTGGATGATGGATGGTTTGGATGAATTGTGTTGTGTGTAAAGTACTATAGAAATAAAATAGAGTTGAATATAAATTATTGAGGGAATAGTGGGCACAGCAACATACAGACACCATACTAAAAGGAGATATAAACAGAAGATCACAAGATGGCACAGCTCATACTTACCGCAAACGTTGCCACCGATTTTTATATAAACATAACCCTCATTCCCCCATGTGGTTCCCCAGGAGTTTTGCACAATCCAGTACGGAATATCCCCTAAAACAGACAACATTCCAGATTTAATTATTTATATGGTAAAGGAGCACTAAGTGTGTGTGTGTGTGTGTGTGTGTGTGTGTGTGGGTACGTACTGCAGCTGTAACCACTCTAGACTGTTACATAATCACTCATATCCTTGTGTAATACCCACAAAACACAAGAGTGTGTGAAATAATTAATGCTAAGTAATACAAAATACTGATGTGTGGGAATTATCTCAAGAAATGAACTGCGGGGTAGGTAGCTGTGGTAACGTTCTGACATTATAACTGCTGTTAAAATAACACCCTGCATCTTCAAATCCAATATCTCCTAAGCAACTTTTCACATTGAATGATTTTTGCTTCAGGAGGTCACTGCCTGAATAAACAGAACTTCTACACTTCTAAATCTTGTAACATGATGTTAAGAGGTGCACACAAAAGGCTCATGTTTACCAACCCAGCTACTTACCCTATCACTATGTACCAAATTAGGACCAACAGACAATAAAGGCAAAAAGGTGAAATAATGTCATATCTACACACTGTACATCTGGTAAAAAAAAATAATTGTTTTCACAATAATTGAGTTTCATATGTCCTTTCAATTCTTAATTAAAGAAATATTTCACTGGTTGCGTTTGATTATGACATCTATCCAATGCAGTTCAGTACTGTGTAAGTTATGTCTTGAGAATATTGCGGAAAATTACAAAATTAAGACAACACATATTTCACTTGATATAATAATAATTATAATAATACTATAATTAGAATTTTGGGGCTCAGTAATAAGCTTAATGTCTTGTTAAAACATTTTTTTTTCTCTATCTCCTTTTAGCACTTAATTAGAGGGGATAAAAAACTCTGCTCTGTTGCAGCAACAATTTAAGATTAAAACAGTCATATTTTTACCAAAAACTCTTGCCTCGTGCAGCTTTAAATTACTTTCACAGGCCCTAGGTTTGTGAAACTTTCTTGACCTAAAAAGGAAAGTGTTAGCTCAAGTAAAATATAAAATCCCTGCTTTCTTTTCTCAAATATGATCCATTCTCGCACCAGTGTAGTGACAGCATGTACCAGTAGTGTTGTATCCAACAACCAGGACAGCATGGTTAGACCGTTGGCTGGAGCAGTGGTGTTGGATTATTCCACCCAGGTAATCCTGCCAGCTGACAGCATCCACAATAGCAGCCAAGGGACCATGCTCCACCAGATGACCCATCATGGCCTCCTCTTGACCACTGAAGAATAATAACAGAAAATTGTCCTCGAGGCAACAAGAATGTCCTTGTGATAACACTGCTTTTTGTTGCATTATTATGTAAACTATACCGTTAAGTCATAGTCCTGTGAAATGTATTAGCATATACACTGTATGGAGGTTATTACTTAAGATCAATGTTTCACCGGGTGCATTTTTGTACAATTTTCTCTGGATCAGCATCTCAGCTCTCTCCACTCTCCTCCTCATCGTGTTCATCCAATCAGTGTATCAATTTCTGACCAACTAATACACTTTTTTTCATTCAGAAATTTTGGTATTTTCCTCATCCTTTCTGCTGCACATATGCAGGCACCCTCTAAAACCTCATCTAGTCTTTCAACCAGAAGATTACACACTGGGGATGGCTGTGATGCCCTCGTCTGCCAGGTTCATGACATATGGTCCATGAGGTCTATGTTCTGGGCCAAAACTATATTGAATAAAGCAATTTTACACCTCATTCATGGTGAGGTGAGGTTTTATCTTGTTGAATTTTTATGATGCTGTTTTTCTTTTGCTGTGCAGCTGTAAAGAACTGGCTTATGTGCCCCTTTAACAGAAGGTTAAGACATCCCCATGACCCCAGCATCTCCACCTTGCAGAAGGGCCCAATTCCAGCAGCTTGATGTACTCAATGATTCAGAACTCTGACCTTTCTGACAGCAGGGGCAGGTCAAAAGCCACATTTTTATACTGGATCAGTGGATTGTTGAGATAAAGAGGTCTTTTAGTGGTAACATGACATTGATGTTTACTGGGTTTGAAAATGATTGTATGGTTCGTTTTACTTTTCCATTCCGTTGAAAAGTCATTATATGAAACATTATATTGTCAAATTATATAATTAGAAAGTTATGTCCAATACAAATGGTATGTAAGGAAAGGAACTATGCAAAAAATAAGAGGCAAGGAAGTTTTATATTAGGTTGGTAATTGTATGGAAATTCAATTAACTTAATTAAAACTTTATCAACTCTGACAAAAGGACGCTTATCCTAGCTATGATAGCAATACGACAATAACAGGAATTAAATATGCATGAGTATGAGTCATGACCCTGTTCAATATTAAATAAAGAAGATCTGATTCACTTTAACTCAAGGTAACTGTGGGCCAGTCATTTGGCCTCTGTGCTACTGAGCAATCCATATCTGTGTTGACACAGTAAACACTGTGGTCTGTCACTGCCCGGGGCCAACCCCCCTTCCCTCTCCTCTGTCCTTGGTACTTGGGGGAAACCAAAATTCCATGTGATGATACCAAAATATTACTTATAGACGACTTGCAGAAATCTGTCTTTTACCTGAAGTCGTATGCAGTGAAGTTCTTCACAGCAACAACGCCATGTGACTGAGAGAAAAAATGGCAGATTCCTGTCTTGGCCTTGTAGGGATATTCTGACTGAGGCACCAATTTCATTTTGGTCTGGAAAGAAAATAGTATATCTCAAAGAGTGTGTTATCTGAATACAAAATATCAATGTATCTTGTTTATGACAGATCCTGGCACAGGCATTTATTGAAATCAGTGTTTGACTATAGACAGAAATTTTATTCTGCTTACTGCCACTACATATCTCTCTAAAATAAGTGACAATAATTTTTAAAAGGTTAACAACAGTCACTTAAATATAAATATTCACTATTATATCTTGTGTGTGTGAAGTATTGGGCGTTGAGGTTGATATTACCTTCATACTCGCTATAAACCATTTAGGAAGAATCTGTTAAAAAACAATCAACACACTTGCTTCAACCATTTCAGAGCCTGGACTGGTGAGCCTCCATTGCAGCCTTCATTTTGAAAAGAGCAGTCCAGAACCTGCTGCACACTGAGTTCCACCAGCTGCGAGCCATCAATAGCATGGACGGACTGCACAGCACCAACCACACTGAATGCCCAACAACTGCCACACTGCAAAGGTACATTTACAGCAATCAGGAAAAACAAAACTACAAAGCAAAGATGGACAAATTCAGAGTGCAGTCATATTTTAGGCTACCCAGAAGAAAACATTTTCATTTTGCTTTTAAAAACTAGATTTCTGTTGGATGGCCTCTGCCATTTCTAAAACCTGTGCTGACCAAATAAATGCTGTAATTCATTTTCAAAAAAACCCTGTCAGTAATATCCACACAAAATTTGATGGTACTTGGAATCAAATACTAGACTCTTGATCATGAATCTATAGTGAGTGTGGATGTTTAACATGTTGAGGTGATCTGTCCAGTGTGAGTGAACTGTGACTAATTGTTTTCTGCTGCCATCTACTGACAGAAACATCTCAGGTATATAGTGGCTTGAGGAAAATCTTATTTTTCAATTCATGTTTTCTAATAGATAAACAACATAATGCAACACAACACAACATATTACAATAAATCAACGAAGACCAGGTAACAAAATAGGAAGAAAAATATAATTCTGAGGTTATATAGTAGTTTCTTGAAGAAAATCCTAATTTTATGCTTCAGTTAATGCATTAGGCTTTAAGGCTGGGGATCACTTGAGATATTTCGATATCAAATGTCGCTCTTATACTTCATATCTGGTACTGATTATACTGATTTCCTGAGACCAGCCATTTGTGAGATAAAACAAAGTATTTCATCATATAAGAGGGCACTTTTTTCCCCCGTGTAATACTTGCACAGGCAATCTAATTCTCCAAACAGCATCAGACTATGCTCCGTTCACATGCTCAGCATAAATTCCCATAAATGTGATGAAAACCTGAGCGCTCCGTGTAAAAATCCAATATTTTGTTGCTCAATATGGTTCTGTGGCTTAAAATCAATGCTGAAACCAAAATCAGTCATTATTGTTTGGACTGGAGATAAGTATTTGCCTAGTATACAAAATATTAGGGCAATCTGCTCTGTCCTTTAAAGCAATGAAATGCGCTTGAGTCACAAAATTGGAATCAAGATAAGGGAAAACTGGATCAAGAAGAATTTATGAGATGTGAGTGGCTTGATATTTTGTGTCTTAGTGCATGGTACTGCATTTTGTTTTCTGTCTATCCATCTATCTATCTGTTGTGGAAACTAAGCCTAGGCAGGCCCACAGACAGAGCCAGAGAAAAAGAAATCTGGGAAGAAAAACTGCAGCAGAGCAGAGTGTTAGGTTGAGTGTGGTCATGTGCATACTCTCCCTCGAGTGGTTAGCCTTGCCTGAATGTAAGAGAGTAAAATATATGTTATCTTGTTGGCTTTAACCTGTGTGGGTTATGTCTCTCCCTTAGGACAACAGTTTTACAGTGAAAACATTATCCCCGACGGCAAATTGACTGACTAAGGAGATAAAGGACAAAAGGAACAGAGAGTGAACCTTCAGCAAGGACAAGCAACAGCTCCATCTCACTAACCTTCTCCCTGTCTGTGTCCCCAGGTTCACTCTGCTCTCTTAGCAAAAGTCACACGTAATAGGTTAGTTTATCATTTTCCACCTGTTTTTCCTTGACCGTTCTGAAAGTCCCTCGCCACTCAAAAGCGTGAATTGTTAATCGTTAATTCACTTGGATGTTTGACCTTTCCTGTGCAGAACGATGCTTGTTCTGAGTTTGACTATCAAATTCATCCACTTCCAGTGGGTTTGGAAGCCAGTCCTATCATGTGTCCAGTTGTCAAACTTTTAAATGGAACAATATTTGCACATTCTGGATTTTCAATGTGGGAGAAGGAGAAGTTGTCATTTTAAGATTTTTTAACTAGGTAACTGAACTTTTTCGTGGAAAGACCATATCTGGGACAAATTATTATTCCAAGTACAGTATTTTTATACATCTTAAAACATGCCTGAAGGGGATCTTAAATAAAAGCATATTCCCCCCTACAGCTAAGATTTGGAAATATTCTGCATCTCCGCATTAGACAGCATATTACCCAACTGTTTATTAGGACACCATCTGATTGCTTTATTTGTTAATGATTGATTAGACTGACATTCATTTGTTTGGACATCACCAAGCTGTGTATCTGTACTGTACAGTACAGTAAGTTCCTACCTATACAGTATATGTATCATCTATTTGTGTAAACCTTACTGCTTGTTGGTTTTGGACCGGTGCCACCACCGCTTTGTCCCTCCAGTCAAATTTGGCCGGAAGCCCCTCTGTTTTCCCTGTCTTCAGTCCAGGGAAGAGAGGAGCTCTGTCAGCACTAGCTCGAAGGTACAGATCTGTAAATAACACATACGGTTCAAAGTAATTCCTGGATACAAAGATACACGTAAACAATGACACACTGACAATGTGCAGATTCAGCCCAGTCAAGGGGGTAAAATGCTCAGTGAGTTTAAATCCAATCCATTGGAAATATATAGAGTGAATAGATTTCACTCTGTGACGCACCTTATGTTGTGAAGAAGCTATAACTGTGCAGATACCGTGCATGGGCCTAATCAAATTCTGCAAATTTACAGTATGTGACAAACCTGCAGCCTACCTCTGAATTCCTCCTGTGAGAAGTCAGAGAACTGGTTGATGCCGTACTTGGCAGACTGTGCCACTGTGGAGAATGAGTTCAGGTACGCATGCCGCTTTGTTGCATTCTGGAAAAACACACATGACAAATTAGAAGGGAAAATTAATGGAAAGGGCAGCAAAATGTAGGCAATCTGAGTAAACCCAAGTCATCAAAGTGAGTAGTTTAAGTAAAAGGTTCTTTGCAACTACTGCTGAACAGTAATTAATAATCCTAATTTCTCTCTTTAAAGGGTAAATGTTGCTTATCGTACATCTGTACACTTGAGGGTAATTTTAATTCAGGACTAACTTCTACAATACTAACCAGTTAGTATTGTTACATTGGGTCAATGCTACTTTCACTTAATCTCAATTTCATTACATTCATTCTTAATTTACTGCAATAATTGCATATTTATCTACATCTAATAAAGAATTTGTAAACCAGATAGAACACGTTTCCTTCATTTACATGAGTGGGCGTTGCCCGTAGTGACGTACGCCGCAGTTTGTTATTATGGTATGTCCTGAAGAAAGTACAGAGTCAGGGTTTCTCTGCACTCTCCTTCTCCCGTGTCTCTTACCTGAAAATAGAGATGGCGGAGGTCAAACTCCGCGCTGTTAGCGACATACGAGCGGTGAAACTGCTCTCTGAACGAGATGAAATCAACTGCACAACCATTCAACTTTGTCCGAGTCTCGTCTGAGCTCACATTGAGACAACAGCGAGCAGAAAGGAGCGCGAAAACGGTCGCTGTAACAGCTAAATACAGATAGACGCCCCTCATTTGACGAAGAAATGTCAGTTAAAAACATTGAGTGATTAAAGAGGGAAGTCAATACTAAAGTGAGCTTTGCGGAAAAGGTGAGGAGTAGTCTACAGCGCATGCGCAGCGATCAATATGAGCTTCCTTGAAAACAGAAAGTCAAATAAAGTAAAAAGTACCATTCACAAGAAGACACTAATGCAACTTTTTAAAATAAATCCATAAATAACTTCATTAAAATACTGTACAATGTAATTAATAATTGTAAATTAAATGCATAATAATAATAATAATAATAATAATAGGAATTGGAGACTTATAATACCTATATATAATTTTAATATGATTTAAATGGAACAGGTAGCACTGTATGTTCAATTTCGTTTGTATAACTTTTGAACACACACACACACACACACACACACACACACACACACAGACATTGTACATTAACACTGCAGTGGTTGCTCTCAGGCACAGTGGCAGCTGCAGAGCATTTTTTCCAGCCTGTACTTTGTCAGGACCAGCCAACCAGTCAGTACGCTGGGAGAAAAAGTAAACTACTCTTGTACTTTTTGGAGTGGCATCTGATCCTGCCTTCATCATAACCAAAGCCCCTCTGTAACGTGTCGGAGGAAATGTCAGACCCAACTGGGGAACTCACCAACAAGCCCTTCGCGGCCCAGTTGTCCAATGCTTACCTCAGCATCTTGGCTCTGTTCTGCTTTAAGCTCTTTGTTAAGATTTCTCTCAACTTGCTGGCATACTTCTACATTGTCCGTGGGAACCGTAAAGAGGCTGCCAGGATATCAGCAGAGTTCTATGACTACGGTCAACAACACAGTGAGTACAAAAATATGAAAAAATGTTTTTGTCCTTCAGGGGGTGTCTTTGCTCCACACTGCATAATTTAAATCATATATAGGTGTGTTAAAGGCAAATTTGGTGTAAAACAAACAACAGTGTTTACACTATACACCAAGCAATATGTTCGACCTCAGGCATATAAGGTCATAGAGAATATATCTTTTTTTTAATCAAGTCACAGTTCACACACAAGCACACACACGTAGTGACAATTTCCGTGTTTACAAATGAGCTATAAATACTGCATTGCTAATCCAATGAGTATAAGAGCTATTCATTGTATTCACATTACTACATACTGTAGATATAAATGATATCCTACTGTTCTTTCATTTGCTTAATAGCTACTTATAAATCCTCAACTGTACATTCAATATTAAATGAAGACACTGTAGGCTGGCAGCTCTTTTTCTCTAATGTATTAATAGAACTCAGTCATGATTCCCCCCCCACCCCCATCCTGCCCTAGTTTCCATTACCAGCTATGCAGTGCACCCTTTCACACTCAGACTGCAACCAAAACAACACTCCACATTCTCAGGAACAGGCGGTCCGAAGGCACATTCTGGGGGAAGAGAGACACGGCGACAACATAATCTGTATCTATCATTCGAGGGGATGTTTAATTTAAAGTGGACCCACTCGATGGAATACTAATTAGCCAAGCTTAGGGTATTAGCCTCAGTCCTGTAGATAGGGTCTTCCTTGTTCTGAAAAATCCGTTTGATGTCTGTAGCTGGGTCTTTTATACCCGTATTTCAAATTAACGTCAGGGGAGGAAAATAGGCTGCATGAATAAAAGAGCATGGATTTCATACGACACATTAGGTTGATTATTATCTATAAATTATGATTAAAATGGACGAAGATGAGAATGATGATGATAATGTGTGGAATGCATTGGCTGTTATTCTGGACATCGACTCAGGTGTGCTTAATGAGATTTTTGTTGTGTGCCAAAATTGCATCCTATAGCCACAGCCAGTTTCTCAGGATGATATTAATTTATCATGTGAGTGGAGTGTACTGTATGCGGTTCGGGATTTCATTAAGCAGCTGTAATTGGTTAAACAATAAAGTAATTATTTTATAATAAGACTTCATGAATAAACTAAATTTAATAAGACGAAAATGTTAGGATAAATAAAATATTCATAAAAATGTCATGACATAAAATCACCAATTTTCCGTTTTAACTGGTATGTAATACGTTTTCATTTGCTATTATATTCATTTAACATTAAATAGTATTTTACAAATAAATCTGCAAGCTTCTTAGTTCAACACCTAAATGACTGTATTAAAAGGTAGAAAAATGCCTTTAATATTGTCTGCACATATCTCCTGTATGTACCTGTACCTGAGTCATTATTACTCCAGGGAAGATAGGATATTTGTTTGTGCAATGATGTTCTGACTCTTATCCTCTTGTACTGTCAGTAATTTAGGATTTGAGGCTTATTCTGCTGTTGCAATTATTTAAAATGGCTATGGATAAGCCTTGGCATCAGCCTAATAACAATAAATGTAAATGGAAGTAGGCACTGAATTCTTATTCTCACTGCAGGATCCTGGGCGGACCGCTCACCCCTCCACGATGCTGCAAGTCAGGGCCGCCTCCTGGCTCTTAGGACCCTCATTTTACAGGTGAAGTGAACACAATCCCCTGGGGGAGTCATGTTCACCCTCCTCATATGTACACATGGGGTCTGCTGTAACAGTCCCCCTGTTGTAATTTAGTTTTATCAGTGCCTTTGTAGAGTTCTGGTTTAGATGTGAATGAAAAAGAGGTTTTGGATGAAAGTAAGGAGTCATCAGGGTTATCTGGGATTAACTATCTATTATCTCATTTGTCCATCTGCACCTCCATTAGTTCTCAATGCTAAATTTTTGGCATTCCTGCAGTCAAGGCTTAAATATGTTCCTAGAATACCTTTCATTTACTTTATAACCAGACTAAAGTGGAATTCTATGAATAGACTAATAATGAAAGACTGATATTTGATAGGAGCATAACACTGTTGCTAAAGTTGTTGAGGCCGGAGCTTCCGCTTGGCCAATATTGGTTGCACAGGTTATAAATTACACTATGCCAGAGGATTGGCTAAATGTCTGCAACATGTGATGTAAAAAGTCAACATCTGGCCGTTATTAATAAATCTTGTGTTTTAAGGAAATGTCAGGTGAAAAGTCGTTTAAGTCGTATAAGCTTACAATACTGTGACATAGCATCTTAGAGAATAAACAGCACTAAAGCACATTTTTGAAGCAAATGAATGAATCTTTGTTGCCATATGGCACAACCAATACACAACAATACACTGTACAGTCTTACAGGAACATAACCATTATATACAGTATCTGAGGTCGTCTACAAAATTGCCGATCAATGCCAATGACTAATAAAGGTGAGAACTCCCCTCCCCCCCTTTTTTTAGTGTTTTCAGCTGCTCACAGATTGAGATGTGTGCCAACAACGCCTTGTTCTCAACTCAGACAAGCTCATGACAAAGCAGTGATATCATTACAGTATTTTACACAGTGATTCATTAGCTCTTTACCAGACCCCTGTTGTCTCTGCACTTTAATTAGCAAGCTTAATAATCTCTATTGTTCAAATGTGACTGCACTGCATAGTTTGTCAATTCCTGACAACCATAACTGAGGAGGAGGGGTCTGTTTTATAAAAGAAGATAAGCTTTATTGATGTTCGTGCAATTCCCAGTGTTCACCAATAGAGGTTGACAAAGGTCATGTATTGCTTAATGTTCCTTATAATGTATAAACGTCTGCGGCTGTTTGATTCTGTTCCCAGGGTCACAGTGTGAATGTTCTGACCATAGACCATGTGACACCCCTTCATGAGGCCTGTGTTGGAGACCATGGCGCCTGTGCCAGAGCTCTCATTGATGCAGGGGCAAATGTAAGTCACGTACTGGCCTTTAATGTTGCTATGCCACGTAGGTCAAATGTCATTTTCATGGCTGGGAAAATCTGGGTTGGGGTAACAAATGAGCAATGCATTGCTTCTTCTGCAGTCACTGTAGAGCTATTAAGTTGTTGTTCCCCCAGGCTGTTGCTATTAGTCAACTTGCATGGTTAAACAAGGCCTAAAAATAACAATAAAAAAAAATGTGTCTACAGGTCAATGCCTCTACAATTGATGGAGTCACCCCTCTGTTCAATGCTTGTACAGTAGGCAGTGTGGCATGCACTGAAATTCTTTTGGAAAATGGAGCAAAACCTCAGAGCCTTGTATACCACCCCTCACCGATCCATGAAGCTACAAGCAAAGGTAAGGACACAATATTCTGCATACATCAGTTCATATATCAGATGACTCAATTGACTTATTGAGTTAATATTGTGTAGGTCTAAACAGCGCTGTGTGACAGTTGTCACAAGTAAGTTCAAGTTCAAGTCAAGTCAGCAACTACCCAATCCCCATTTTATCTGTTTTTGCTGCTGATATTCAATATCTTGACATTACAATATTACCCCTCACTATCACTCACTAGCAAGAACCAATACATCATTCCAACTCTACTTATTATAACTTACACTAGATCCTGTCTTTCAACATGTATCTGTGTCCTTTATTGTGCTATAAAGCACTTTCCTAACAACCCTGCGCTGTAAACAAAAAACAAAAAACCTTTAAAAATAAATCCCAACATGACCCAAGCAGACAGCTTGGAGAATTATCTCGCACTGTCACTTACTCACTGAGTACTGTCTTCATGCTCCATTACTTCCAGGTCATTACGGTTGTGTGGAGGCTCTGGTGACTTGGGGGGCAGATGTGGACATGGACATTCCTCACCTGGGCACAGCACTGTATACGGCCTGCGTCTGCCAAGAGCTGGAGTGTGCCAGGAAACTCCTGAGGGAAGGTCAGCTCTCAGCACAGTGTGGATCTTTACATCTCCATACAGACAGGCACGCGTCCTGTACGGACGCACACACAGTGTATCTCTGTGTGAGCACATTAATTGTGCACAGACATGGAAATAAATACAAATCTGAATGTGCAGTGGATTCTAAAAGCATTTAGACCCTGACACCAAAAACTTGACATTAAAACAGAGAGTAATGGATTTATTTCAGGTGAGCAGTATTTCAACAACATGTTTATTTTGGATTGTGTTGGTGTACTTTCATTATTCCTGATGTACCCAATTAGCAGCGCAGCAATAACACAGTTTTACTTTTTGTCAGTTGGGAAATGGTCAACTGCAGCAGTACGTGTTAGTCTGTCAGTTTTTCCCAAAACGGCTAAAATTCCCTTTTTAGAGATCATATAAGGACATATAGTGTGGATAGGAATCAGGACAGATAGAAGGAATTCAGTTTTAGTAAGGAGAACAGCAACCACACGCAGCCAACAGCAGACTGATCTCATTTTCAAGCTATTTCTCTGCTCATATTCCTTGCTACCGGTGACTGAAAGTAACCATCCTCTCACGGCTGCTGAAAGTCACTTCTGGTAAATGTAGCAAACTTTAGGTAGACAAGGGCAGATACAGGAAGGCAGGAACTTAAAAAAACGTGATTAGAAAAGATAGTCACAAAGTAATTCCTAGATTACAGTGATTACAGTGCAGATGATATCTAACAGTGGACGTTTCTGACTGGACTGTGTCTTGAATGGATAACCAAGTTGTCCTGCATACAGGTGCAAATGTACAGAAAGGCAAATCCCTGGATTCACCCTTACATGCAGCTGCAGAAAAAGACTCCACAGCTGTGGTGAAGCTGCTGCTGGACTTCGGTGCAGACATTAATGCAAGGAACACAGAGTTTCAGAGGCCAGTAGACGTGGCTCCACCCAGCAGTCTAACAGAGGGCTTCCTACTGCTCTATGAAGGTATAAGAACACTTGTAACTTGTTTTTATAAGCAACAAACGATCTGTGTTTTTATCTTTTTTTTGTCCAACTTGTCATATTTATATCAGTGTTTGAACATCTGCATTAACAGATATTAACATGGTCCTTCTATCTGAGTTGTAGCATTACAGTTCTGAAAATGCTGTCCAACCTTAGTCAGTGATTTTCTTTTGGAAGTAATCTATGTGTATGGACGAGCTTATATAATGTTTAATCGCCTCCTTCTCATAGCTACACCACGACTGCTGAGCCAGCTGTGTCGTCAGTGCATCAGGAACTGCGTCGGCCGTGACAGACTCCACCTTCTTTCCCACCTTCCCCTGCCCAACAGGCTCAGGAGCTACCTGCAGTACCAATGACAGGCACAACATCCAAACTGTCGGCCTAAATGGGACTTACAGGAAAGAATTCCTTAACACAAAGAGCGCCTCCATGAACTCTTCCTACCTTTAATTTTTTGCTTCCAGTCAATGCAGTAAGCAATTAATTGAAATTAGTCACAGAGTAGACAATCTGTGTTGAGCTGGCTTGCATCCCATATGTGACTGTGGACCCGGATGAATGTAAAGCAGGGGGTTTCTAAAATAAGAGCTTGTAGGATTATCCTTGGCTGGATAAACTGTGGTTAAAGAAATCTAATCAAAGTATTATTTGCATTTCAGTTTTTGTCATATTTAGAAGATGCTGTAATAGTTGCAATAGCTATCAGACAGTGACGCACTTTTAAAATATTCTGATGTCATAGTGCACAATATGTGAATGAGCATTCATTATTTTGCATTTGATATATAATGCACTGCACACTACTAGATTATTAAATTGTTTTGAAATCTGGTGCATTCCAAAATATGTTGTCTTTGTACATATGCAGGGCTGTGCTGGTAATCAATGCTGTGATGTGCAGTGGAAAGAATTGTTAATTCAAAAAATTTGAAAACAAAAATAGTTGACATTTAAACTTGGATTACTGAGTGCTGGCAACTGGAAGAGGCTGACCTTATTGGAAAATCCTAAATGGAAAATATGAGTGGGTGGAGCAGCAAGTGTTTGTTTCTATTGCTGAGACAAATAATACTGCAATTAAATAAAGCTCCTAGGACATTATGAACAAAATAATCGTATCAATGAAGTAGCAGTATGAAGTAACCTTTAATAATACTGAGTTTTACATTTTTTATAGAATTATTTCACAATTTCATGGTCATATTACATGTTTGTAAAAATATATATATATACATATATATCTTATTTTTCTATTAAATATTAAAATTAATATACAGGAATTGCTCAATACAATTTTGTATTAATGTTACATCCTCTGGGGGGCAGTAAACCGCCACCAGAGTGTGTGTGTGTGTGTGTGTGTGTGCGCGTGTGCGTGTGTGTGTGTGTGTGTGCGTGTGCGTTGCCACAAGTCAAAGAAGTCTGTCATGTCGTTGCCATGGAGATACAAACAAAAGTCCAGCGAGTCAAACGCAGGCTGTTAACGTTACTTACCTTGGATAAAATGCGGGTTAATTGGGGTTTAGTGTGATCAGCTACACGGACTGCCTTGTTTTATAGTTAACAGTCACATATTATTGGTTTGGAGCTTTCCTCAAGCTCAGAGCAGCATGTTTTATGCACAGTCTCCCAAAAAGACGGGCCTGCCAAGAGAGGTTGTGAAATGGCTGCAAGGCCTCGACTTATCAATGTATCCGAAGAATGTGCGCAGGTAAAGACTACACAACCCACTGTCTGCTTACTTACAGCATACATTTCCCAGTAGGCCGGATAAAAACGCAGCTCGGTGTCCAGACTGTAAACCGGGATAAATGTACTTTAAACAGTCAGTTTAGCGTTAAACGTCTTGGTAACACAGCGTTAACTTAACCGCTGTGTGTACAAGGTTAACGAGCTCATTGACAATACAAGTGAGTTACTATAGTTAGATATTAGTTCACCAAGATGACTCCAGTGAGCTGTATTTTAATGTGAAGCAGACGTTTGCGGTTAAAACAATGGTGAGCTAGCCAAAAACAAAGTTATAGCTACAGTAACGTTACTAAAAACGCTGGCTAGCTTGGGAACGTTATTCGTAAAACCCACAGGCTAACAATGGCTCCATAGTCGCTTTGGTTGAGCATTTCCTCACTTAACTGATTGACTTTGCCTTTAATGGTCAGGAAAGGGCCTTACTGGGATTAAAACAGTCGTTTACAGTAAAGAGTATCCTCTAGCAGCATAATACATGAAGGTAGCAAAGCATATAACTTACCAGACTTCTAGTGAAATACTGTAGATCAAAATAATGGAAGAACCAAGCATAACAAAAACAGAAACATCAATGCTTTCCAATGCTGTCAAGACAGCAAATTGTTCCAATTGGATTTCACTGTAAGGTAGATATATACTCAGTTTGTTCTCCCTACTTTTTGTTACAGAGATTTTTCCAGTGGTTACCTTGTGGCAGAGATATTTTCTCGTTATTACCCCCAAGACTTTTCTGTGCATTCGTATGACAAAGGAACATCACTTTCTGCTAAACAGAGGAACTGGAGCCAGATCGAGAGGGTAAGAGAAACATCTAAAAGATAGAATGAGTGGAGAAGAAATGGCGCTTTGTTCAGTGGAGACGATGTGGAATAAAAGACTACCCAACCTACCATGTATACTGAAGTGACATTATGACATTTTCTTTACCTACGTGTACTTGAGGGATCTGAAACAGGAAGTCAGACTATTCTGAAACGTCTGTATTGTCCCAGTCTTTACAGAGGCAGAATCTGCACTTAATGAAAGAGGTCATTGATGGAGCCATCCACTGTAAGCCAGGAGCGGCTGAGCTGTTGGTGCAGGAGGTTTATACTGTTTTAACTAACAGGAGGTAAGGGTTGATGGGAGCAGGGCAGAAAGGAAACAGTTTGAGGCTGGTTTAAAAATGCATCAGCGACTTTCTTTAACCAGACAGACAGGGTTTATGTAGCATTTCATCTGGAGGTTAGAAAAACAAATTCAATTTTATTTTGTATATTTCTTTAAGACACTACTGTGTGGATTGCCAATTGCTGAATTGTCAGGCTGATGTGCCTCTCAGGAATGTGTTAGATATAACTATACATAAAACTATACAAGATGTAGTGTAAGTGTAACCTTACTCTAAAGCTGTCACAGGGTTGATTGACATTACAACTTACCTTGTAAAAACATATATTCACACAAATGCAAAACATAGAAATATAACAACATAATCATGTGTGTATTCTAATTTTTGTAAGTCCTCCTTCTCAGGATCAGAGATGTGCAGGGCCCAGAGTGGGACTTCACTGACCAAGAGTACCAGGAGCTTCTGCCCACATTGGCTCGCTCCACGGCCTCCAAGGCCATCAAGAACAACCTGAGGATAACGGAGCTCATGGCTGAGCCTGACATCAACACAAACCAGAGGAAGGCAGAGGTCATCCTCCACAGGCACCTGGAGCACAAGGCTGTAGAGAGGGTTCTCAACCCTGGTAAGTCACCCAAGGGTGATATTGAGCTTACTGTTTGGGAAAATATAGGGTGCTCTTAGATCTTTTTCAAATTTGTTTTTTCTTATAAAGAAATGTCACATGGACTGACAGAATGTTGGCATAGTAAGTTGAAAATGTGAGGATACTTATAAGAATTTTATGATCTGAAACGTCAGCTCTTGAGTCGGATTTCTCTGAATGTGACAGAATTTGGTCAATTTTGACAGGACGTTTTAAAGTGAAACGAGAAAAGGCTAATCTGGGTCAGCTGGCAGCCAAAAATCTTGGGCTATCCAGCCACGGTGATGAGTGCTTTGACAGCCCTTCATCTAAAGATACTACATCAAGTACGTGTCAAGTCTTATATTCTCTCTCAACAGGAACGAGAATACTGATTCGATAAGTGTGCTTACATGCATCATCATTTCGGTGTTGTGCTCATGACACAGTAATGTCTCAAAACAAACAAAACAAAGCTCCCTTTATCAAAGAATGACTGTAACAGTTAAATGCTAGTTTTTTACATTTTCTGTGAGAGTGGAAAAAGTAATATTCCAGTCATCAGGGGCAGTATGACTTTTGAAGTCAGTTGTAATGACAAATGATCGATAAGAGTTCATACTGTAAATGATTAAAGCAACAGTGTTTTGTTACTTCTTCCCTTGGTGCCAAATAACCTTGTGTACATATTTGATTTATTGACGTAAATGTAATTGCAGCTGCATTTGATCTATTTTTACATCTATTTTCCAATTTCTCCTATTTAAGAGTTGTGCTCCTCATCAACATGGAGTGGAGCTGCTGTTTCCTTTAAGGAGATAAAGGTGCACCAGCCTGTCAGACGCTCCCTGGTTAGCTGCTGAAGGAACTGCATGGAGATCTGTGCTCTCTTACTGTATTGTGTGTGTCACTTGATATAGTGTGATATATGTTATTTTTCACAATTACTCAAAGCATAGCCTTTTTTCAACTATTATGCTACACAAGGAGTATAGTTTGTTTTAAAAGACAGATGGTGTAACTGTTTGTTATGGCTTTGGTAACGTTACAGGGCCTCTACCTTCATGTTTGGGCTATGCCTGTTTGTACCAGTAGGTGGCAGCATTGAGTCATGAGCAGAGCAGTCCTCAATGTGTAAAGAGACCAAAATCCACTGCTGTACGTGTACCATTCACAAAAAGAGGAAATAAATCAAAAAAATGTACGGGCTTTCCTGTTTGTGTTCACTGCTCTGAGTTCTTAAATGCTGTGCACAGTTCCTTAGACCATTACTGAATATGCCTCTTCCATCCTGTTTCACCACGTTTTCTCAATCTGCTAAGAAATTAGGATCTGTCACCTGCCAAATGCTGGTAAATGTAGGTTTCAGCCCATTACATTCACTGTAGGAGGTCCCACTTTAGGTAACTAATCCCAATAACAGATTTCTAAACTGGCTTGCTAGATTTGGGGGAATAACCAGTCCCTATGACACGTGGACATGAAAGCTTTTTTCTGTCTTGTTTCTCATTTAATCAATGGTCCAAATTTTCTAGCCTATAGTTGAATACATTTCTAACTGGCCTTGATTTTCAAAAGAGATGGCCAAAGGCAAATATGTTAACAAAACCTTGCCCATGATAATATGAATTAAATGTCCAGTGTGTAACATTTAGGATGATCTATTGGCAGAAATGGAATATCATGCTCATAGGTATGTTTTCATTAGAGTATAATCATCTGAAAATAAGAATAATTGTGTTTACGTTACTTTAGAATGACACATTTTTATCTACAGAGGGAGCAGGTCTTCTACAGAGGCTGCCATGTTTCTACAGTGGTCCAGAATCTAGATAGGGTCTTTCCCATTTTTCATGGCCACCATATTTTCTCCTACATGCTTGGAAGGCTGAGCTGTATTCAAATGGTTGCAATCCTACACACTGGTACTTTAAACGTGCTGACCTGTCTTTATGTGTCATCTAGAGCAGCAGAGGAAGGTAAACAATTGTGAGCCAAAATGAATTCCATACCTGTGACAATTTTATGAAAATTGTCATAACGGGTAGATCACTCACCGTTTCTCTACTGGAACGAAAGATCTTGTTCATGCTGTTCTTACCCTACTTAATTTCTAAGCATCTTGAGGGCTCAAGGGTCATGTAAGTTTTCTCCTTTAGTTGTATTGTAACCCAGTCTTATATTTTACCTTCTGTCTAATTTTAACATGGATGAATAGATAAAGGATTATTTGACAGACAGACTGCAAGTGGCTGGTGGTTTGTCTGACTCACCAGCCAAACAAACAATGGTCACTACTGAGTGGCTGGTCAAATTTGAACATTCACTAGCCATTTGGCTGGTGGACAGTTCATTTTTGCCTCCTGGAGCCGGTTACAAGAGAGCAATACTGCTCGTGGTCTGGTGCTTTATGATTTTGAGTGCGACAACTGCTTCTTATAACTAAACATATGCAAGATGCATTTATCTTTAAGGACAATAAAGTTAGCTTTAAGGTTTTAGTTGAAATTATAATTTTATGGGGTTTTTTTTGTTTGTTCAAAAGTCAAATACACACACACACACACACACACACTAGCTGTATTCAACTTACTATATAATTAAGATTTTTTTATTCTTGATTTTTGGTGTCATCAATCAGCATTTACAGTCTGATGGTATAATATTAAATTTGGTCACTAATTTGGTTTAACTCCTGATGCTACATTTAATACTATGTACATATATGTGTTAATTACATATAAACCAAATGTACAATGCATAGTTAATTGACTTGCCCTTATAGGCGTATGCATTTCTAACCAATTAAATCCAAAGTATGCACCCATGATGATCTGTGGCTGATCAACATAAATATCAATGCACCCTTTCAAACTATTTTCTTCTCCTGGTTATTATTTTATTCTCAGAGGATAACATTCATGCAGATTTACTTAGATTGAGATCACTCAAAATCTGTTCCCAAATTTCCAAGCACTCGTGGATGCTCAGTGATGTACAGTGTACAGTACAAGTGAGCTGTGAAGCTCGTGAATAACGGATGACAGGATGATAAGTGTTTCTGGCGGGCTGCCTGGCTTCTCGTGTGGTCTAAGGGCTTCGGCTTTCAATAGAGAGATAGGACAATGTTTTAATGATACGATCTCCACAGCCTCAACAGACTATTAATACAGATGACCATGAGATTTATTGCTACTATAGTAATACACCAGTATCTGACTCTTAAACTGTTGTAGAGGATAGCAGCATTTGGGTCAACTGCAAAAATCAATTAGTTGCTCAACAACAGTTGAAACAAAACATTTTTTTTAAAGTCAATCAACCATTTAATGAGTGTAGATATCTGACATTTGAGAAGGCTATAATATATCTGATGGTCTCTTTGAAAGCAGCCAATCCTTTTTCCTTGGTAGTCAATGGCTGGTAAAGCCTCTTTCCCTGCCTCCCTCAGTGGAGCTGTAAAACCTGACCTCCTTAATCTTTCAGTGTCTTTTGATTTCCCTCAGCTTGACTGGGCGTGAACACACATCAGCACTTAAGACGGGGAGCACTGTCGCCTGTTGATTTCTCCAGACGCTGGGTGATGAGCGTTGGAATTTGGATTTTAAGTGTTGAGCCTCACATTCAGATGCATTGGTTTTTTACGGAAAATCCAGATAGAGAAATATAACTAGAGTCAGCAGGAAGTGATACCATATAAATGCAAAATAAATGACCTGTATGATACAGAAAAGCCAGAATCCTGATATATTCTTTTTTATAATGCACAATAACGTACACTGTACGCTAATAATGATGGGCGAGGTGGGCTGCTTTACATAAAAAGCACTGGCTATGGTTACAGGGTGTTTATATTTATACTACATCTACACGCCTCTCCTAGTGAACAATATCTAGGGCCTGGTTGCTATGGCAACTAGCAAGCCCATACTGGAGAGCGACCAGGAGACATTAATAAGCTTACTGTGAGCTTCTCTGGCTCCTTCTGTTGGTCATGAGCACAGGCAGTGGCTGTGAGGGATTTCAACCTGGACATATATGCGTACAAAAAGATATGCAAGTACGTCAAGATGATAAATACATGTACATTAATTTATAAAACACAGATAGCATGTGTGATTAATTGGAGATGTCAGGCAACTGATGTTAGAAACTGAGGATGCCTAAAATGCCCTAATAAAGTGTTTCACCATCTGCTGATTTTTCCTATCGGCATCATGGTACCCACAGTGTGAAGGAAGCGCTAGTGGCGAAGGCGAAGGGATACAGCGCGGGAGGGGGGTTGGAAGCACAGACAGGAGCACGCCTAGCCAGTGAGGGGGAGATCGTGAGTCTTTGTAAGCTAAGGATTCCCCTAGAAGAAAAAAAAAGCCCTCCCCCATTCCCCCCACAGCAAATCTCCCACCCCTATTAACAAAGCCATGGTAAGCTAGTGTGTGGCCATGTTATCCAGGCCAAGGGTGGGGCACTTTGTGTGTCTCTATGTTGGCATGCACACAAACGTGTGAAAAGTCATGTGCATATCAGATTCTAATATTTATATGTATTTATTCTGTATCCACTAATGAACTGCTTTGATTTATTTACATATTTTCAATGTAGTTACAATGCGTTAGGCACTAACAAGCTGCTGGCCCCCGATGTTCTTAATTTTCAAAATCCCAAGAGACAAAGCTAATTATGTGCAAATGAATATGTTCTTTATGTGCCGCATGGAAACAATACCACTTAAACAAATATTAAAATATCATTCATCACATTGGAACACAATTAATCCTTAAACTGAGAGACTGGATTTTATTACTGCGGTTTTTAAAGTCATATGCATTACAAATATTTAAGAGCAAAACTCCAAATTAAAGATTGAATGCTTTGTGTAAAATAGGAATTCAGGTCAGAAATGTTCAAAAGACTGAAAAACATACCAAGAGAACACAGTGGGCTTGTAACTAAGTTTCTATTCCATAATTAATGATAACTGGCAAGGGAAACATAAACAACGGATTCAGTGAGTCCAACACGTTTCAGCACACTGACTTTATCAAGCTACTAAAAAAGCAGGAAAGTGCCTCTGTGCAGTGGAAGCAAGTGACCACAATACCCTTTACATGCTACAAAACAGCACCACTCTCCCTCGAGAAGAGTGAGCAAACCTGCTAGAATTAGAACAACAGTAGAAAGGGCAATGGAAACAGGAAGGTTAAAGTAAAAATACAACATAAGACAAAGGCTGAATGTCTTTTGGCTCAAAGCAAGAAAAGAAAAATGGCTAACCCACTTACAACAGTTTGAGTCATTTCTTAACACCATGTAGTACAATAAATCACTAAAACAGAATAACAATGCGTATTATAATATATATATATAACCTTTTGTATGTAAGTGTACCACAAACATTTGATGTTTACTTGTGGTTTAATTTGTTTGAGCAATAGAGTAAATGATATTTGTGCGTGGGAGCAAATTATATCACCAACTTTAACTGAAAACTGCAGGAACACTACAGACAACAGAAAATGACCATACAAGAAACAAGGTTGAATGTGTAGGTGCTGGATATCTGTCCACATCAGACTCAATACACACAACAGGTGATTTACACTAGGAGTGCTTACCTTAATAACAGGATAAACATATTCACATATTGACATGTTGTCCCCGGTATTTTTTATGCTTTTTATTAATATTACCACCTAAGACTAAGACAGAATGGAGCGGGGAAATCAACACATATTTACTCATTTTATAGCAACTGGAAACATTTGTTTTGAAAAATATGTGCTCGAGCCTCTACCTAACTCTTGTTCCCATACCCTCTTTTGCTTTCAGTTTGCAAATTACACAACATACTTTAAGTGCTAGACATGGCCATTTTTTTGTTGACCACACGTTTAAGTTTAATCCTGTTGCAGCAGACAGTCGTAATAAGTTGGCAGGAGAGTCCAGACTTGCTTGATCTGGGTCAAAGTAGCTGACCAACTGACCGACCATCAGACACACGGACCGACCATCCCTCAAGCTATGTCTCTAGCATGACTCAAAAAAAGCTAAGTTGCTAAATTAAGCTAAAAAAAAAGAGGGAGGAGGTTAGACCACTTGGTCAGACAATATGTTACAGCAGGCTAACTGAATTATTAATTAAACCTCAAACATTAATGAAGCATTACATTTTAACATCAATAAATTATTACATTCATTTTGAAA